ACGGTTATCATAATTCTCATAAAAAATAAACAATATGACTAATTAAAATTTATACAATGTGGCTAATTAAAGTTTATATAATTAGTCTAAAATCTTCTTCTTGATTATCAAAGAAAACCAAAGAACAGATACTAGTTTTTATCGATGTAACAATAAACACAGGGGCGGATCTAGCTTTTTTTTTGAGGGGTGCTGGCAAATATGTGCGATGACGGGGTTTTTCCACTAACCCCCCCCCGCGCTTTGCGGGGGGTGGGTGGGTGTATGAAAGGGGGTGGTTGTTAAAAAGGTTTTTATAAAGTACGGGGGACGGGGGTCACCCAAAAGCGTACAAGTTTGTTTAAGAGGTGTTCAAGGCAACGAATACGTATGTAGTTTAACTATATTTTTCATCAACTTTTTTAAAAATATTCAACCTCCTTTTTTTAACAAATGAAAAGGCTATATCCCTCAGGGTCTTTTACCTGTCTGCCCGTCTTTTTATACCCTATAAATTGCCCGTATTTTGATTAAATAATCAGATCAGAAAGGTTACAATTCTTATAAACATATCAGTTAATAAAAATGATAATAAAAATAATTACTCTCGCCTGCCAAATAAACGGAAGGAGACGTTTATTAATTTTTTCCGACCCCTCGGAGCTTATTAGGAACCCCCCCATCCCCCCCTGATTATTAATTTTGAAACAATATAAAATATTTTTGCAATTTTTTTACTTTGAGAAAAATATTTCTCTCAATAATAGATGAAAATACGAACAACCAACCAAAAAAACTATTTTAAGACGACCCTTTGGTTTATTTAGATTCCCACCCCCCCCCCCCCACCCCGTTTATTAGATTTTAGAAAAATTTCCGACCCTCCTATTTATTAGGACAACCCCTCCCCCGTTTATTCGGCAGGCGAGAATATTGTGCGAAAGTAATTTTGTGTACATAAAAATATTTTGTATGCAAAGTAATGCAGCAACTATTTATTGGCAGTAATCGACCGTTATACGAAGAAACAATCAATAATGATACAATAATTGAACCCAAACAATGAACACACAACTTATTTATTATTCGTACGACATATAACATAAACTAGAAATAGCATAAGAATTGAACAGTAAAACCCAGTTTTGAAATGTTAAAAGTAAACAAATTTCTTACCCAAACTGTACTAAATTTCTTTTTCTAAACTGTTACCCAGCAAACTCGCCATGCTTGCTCCATGCATGGCCCACCATCGGTGCCATGACTGGCCCACCATCGGCCGACAAGCATGGCCCAAGCCAAGTGTTGCTCACCGTTTAATGCATGGTCCATGCATGGCAGCCGTTTTTCGACCAGCGTTAAGCCGTTGCAAATTTGTTTTATTTATTTTTAACTTTTAACCGGCGTTTATCAGTTGCATAGCTATTGCTCATATCTATGTTAATTTTGCTTTATTATTATTATTTGTTTATTTTATTTATAACTAATACTTAGCACATAAGAGAGTTTAAATTAAGAGGAATTCCTCGTTCTTCCTTTGCTCAAAGACGTAATAAATTGTCGAAAAATAAGTTAATGTTTACCTAACTCAAAAAAGGTATACGCGAAAACATATAATTAATGAGATATTTCAAAATATTATAAAATGGAATCTAGAAAATTATGTCCACCGTTTTTGCAATACATTATATATTGATAAATTTTTTACATTTCAATAAAAGTTAACTAAAATACAATTCATATTCATATAAAGTTTTAAGATGAGTAAAAGCTTGTCCATCATTTCTTCAACCGTCATTTATTCGTCATTATGGTGCTAACTATCAATAATCTTCTACTTCACATTTTTACGCAATCTTTCTCGCATTTTAAACTGCTCCTGATAGATCTAAAATAAAATAATTAGGCCGATCGTAATAAAAGACACATTGTAAAAAAACTAACGCCAAAATAACAAAAAGTATAAAACGCCAGATCTAGCGTTAACATCAACTCGAGTTGAGCAAATATAACACTAAATATAAAGGCCGATCTGCCGTTATATTATAACGCCAATATAACGGCACTTCGAAGTGCCGTTATATTGGCGTTATATTGAGAAAAAATAAACTAACGGTTGAAGCGTTATAATTGCTGTTATATTTATTTTACTAATCCAACATTAATAAACATAATATTGAAAAAAAATTACAATGTTTGGAAAATAATAATTATGTTTATATGATATTGATCATTTACAGTCATTTTGAAAAGATATACCATTACCATTGCTAATAGATGGTGATGCCGCTAAAAAATGCAAAATATAAAACATAGTTATCAAACGACATCTTAAAAATTAAAATATATAATAGCCTTATGAAAAGGTCTTTTACAATCATTTTGAAAAGATATAACTTTACCATTGCTTTTAAGTTTGGATGTACCTTAGGAATACGAAATAAAAATAATAATAAACATATAACCTCTTTAACAATTAATATAATCATTTTGAAAAAATACAACCTTACCAAGGTTACCAGATGTCAATATCATTAAAGACTACAAAACGAAAAAATACTAATTGCTGTTGCCCCTAAATACTACAAAATAAACAATAACTTAAAAAAACATCTTCTTTTACTAAGTCATTATTAACTATTTTGAAAAGATACAAACTTACCATTGCTACCAGATGCCATTAAAGACTAGAAAATGCAATAGATAAAAAGAAAAAAACATCTTTAGAACGTCATTTATAATGAATTAAAAAAGATATAATCTGTAAGATTATCATAGGAAAAACAAAGTACATAAAATAATTTGATTGGTTATATACAGCTATTTCGAAAAGATACTTTAGAACGTTACCATTGCTACCAGATGTTGATGTCACTAACAAATACAAAAACAAAAAGAAAACAAGCAGACAACTCCTTCAAAATATATGGAAAATATACTTGTAGTTAAAAGATGCTTGTGACATTACCACTGGTACCAGATGTCGATGCGTATTAAGTCTATATACTTGAAGATACATATAAACTATTTAGCACAATAAATAAGCATTAACTATAAACTAACAAGAATCAGAAAAAATTTACTAAACTTTTATAAATAGGATATATCTTTTATGGCTTCTTTTCTAAAGTATCTAATGATTACGTAGCTTTAGCATGTAGCATTTTTTAGTCATCTATAATCTATAACATCTATAATCATCTATAATAATCTATAAATAGCAACACAAAAAAATATTAAACAAAAAGCATTAAAATAGGTTAGTTACAATAAATATATATTTCAAATATAGCTTTAAAATATAAATACATACATGTATGTATTTGTTAATAAATGTATGTAAGTTTTTAATCAGTGCACTGGTCAAAAACTTAAACCGATGATTTTAAAAAGAAATATGTTAAAATGAAGAAAACCTTTCATTAAAATCCATGCAAAATTTAAGGTATTAACCAAAAAAATAAATTTCAAAACTCAAAATTTCAAAACAAATAAAGTCCACGCCTTAATCCTGGACTGAAAAATTTTCTGTTATATTGTATGTATGTATGTATGTGTAGTAAAATATAAAAGTATGATACTATAAAAAAAATGTTATACTTAAGTAATGAAAGTAAAATATAATATATCAAAGAAAATTCAAGAGTTTTGAGTTAAAGTTTTTAAAGCACGTTGTGCGCGGCCACCATTTCTGTCCGGAGCTTGCATTAGCCACCTTTTTATGCACTTCTCAACATCTGCATTACTTCCTCCTTTTTCATGCTTTTGAACTGCAACTGTTAAATTTTTAACAAGATATATGGGATCAACTTAATTACCACAAAATAAATGAACATTATTGTACTTACTATATACTATGCCAGGAATTTTTTTTAACTTTCCAAAGGCGTGTTTATTTTTGTATTTATCACTCCAATTCATTTTTAGTGCTAGTTCATGACATACTAGCTGATTCATTATGTTATATGTAATTGATTTCAAATTGCTCCCACCAATTACACCAAGCAAATTTGACTAATATAATATTTATATAACTACAGATATATATATATATATATATATATATATATATATATATATATATATATATATATATATATATATATATATATATATATATATTTGGAAATAGATTATTAAAAATAAACTTTTGAAGCTTACCAAACCAACAGAAGAACTCATTTCATCTAATATTATCAAATCCTGCCAATTTTGAACAGGCAATGTGACAGGTAAATCTTCAATTGAAGACTCATTTGTACAGCTTTCTAACCTCATAAGAATAGTTTTTAATATCTTTTCATTGGATTTCTGCCTGTTTTCCATCACAACGAGCTTTTCTAAAATCTTATCCATCATTAAATCTGAAAACAATCATCACCATCATTATCATTATCATCATCATCATAATTATCATGATCAAAAATCTAACCTGTCCTATTATTTGGTGACAAAATTTGACCATTTTGAAAATATGAACTAGTGTCATTATCTAAATTAAAAGAGATTTTATTTTTATAAGATATATATATATATATATATATATATATATATATATATATATATATATATATATATAGATTTTATTTTTATAATATTTTTTAAGAGAGGGTTATAACCATATTAAATTTACAAAAAAATAAAAGAGTACCCTCCTTGACTGAAGTGACCCTCTCAGACTTTGGGAACAATAAAGAGAGAAAAAAAAGCTGACTATTTAACCAATTTGTAAGATCATCTTTAATAAACTGAACTTATTAATTGATTTGATTAAGTATAATAACTCACCTAAAGAACTATTTAATGAAACAGAACTTTTGTTAAATATTGAAAAAGGAATCGACTTCTCATTACTAGGAGGAAAAATTTTACACTCTACATTTGGGGCACACGTCTTTCTGGTGCTACTTGATGTTTCATGAAGTGACAACCTAGCCAATAAAATTAATTAATTAAAAAATTATTGACAACATTAACACTGACAACATTAACACTTAGAGTGGCTATGTTTAATCATCTATTTAAACCCAACGATCATACTTATTAGGACAAAAATCAACATTAGGCTCATCATTTTCATTGAGAATTTCAAATCTTTGAACTTCCCTACAAAATAGCAAAAAATTACTTAGAAATATAAATAAGGACAACAAAATTTTAAAGACTTAAAAATTTTGTTAAATTTTGAAAAATAACTACTTTCTCTTTCTCTTTTTTCCTGTTGTTTCTGTATCAGTATTAAGATCTGAAGTATCTAATGCTAGAGTGGCTTTATCGTGCGCTATTTTGTAATCAGCTAAAAAAAACAATAAATGAAAATAAATGTATGTACAAAAAATATTTGTTATTCGTAAAAATAAATTAAAAATGAATATTAAATTATATTGATAGTAGTCACATACGGTTAAAAGAAAAACATTTATAAAACTTATCTTCAGAATTTGTAACCTCTATTGGAATACTTTAAAAATTAATTAAAAACAAATTTATAATAAAAATTACTTGTTTTCCACAAAGCAATGCCTGTATATTTTTTCCAACTGTCTTCTGGGGGGAACATTTTTAAAACATAATTGTTAAATGTTTTTAAGTCCATTTTTGATGGAAAAAAACACTTCCCAGTCTCATGAGAAAACCATGTTTCCGGAACTACCTCCACTGAATCCTCCTCTGGAAATTTTACAACTAAGTAATGTGTCATGGTCTTTTAAAATAAATAAAATATATACATTCAGGCTAAAAATAAGCCTTAAGTTGATGGAAGCCTTACTCTAAGGGGACATTTATAACCTCCCCGTAGGTTTAGTTAGGGTATAACTACCCTAGGCCCCTGCCACAACCCTCAGACAATGTGTGTCCTCCCTAAATCAGTCAAAATATGTACACTGCTTTGGTGTACATTTGATTACATATGTGTTACATTAAAACTTATAAAACTACAAACAATAAAACATTCATTAAAACAAAATAGCCCTGTATGTATACAGGGTGTTAACCTGTAATATAATTTATTCCACGTTTTTTCAATTTTGGGAGTATGTATTTTTATTTAAAAAATAACGGTTCATTGATTTTTAATTGGATTGGGAAATCTGTTGTATGAGCAGTGCCATTGGGCTGGCTAACATCCTAGTATATACATAAATACATACATATACATACATATATATATATATATATATATATATATATATATATATATATATATATATATATATATATATATATATATATATATATATATATATATATATATATATATATATATATATATATATATATATATATATATATATATATATATATATATATATATATATATATATATATATATATATATATATATATATATATATATATATATATATTATATATATAAATATATATATATATATATATATATATATATTTAAATATTATATATATATATATATATATAAATATATATATAAACACGATTGGCCCGAACACGAGACCAAACCGAATTGTGAAATCCAATGACATTTGAAGCTCCGTCTGAGCTATACCCAATGCAGTTTTTTAAAGACAATCCAACAGACGTCAACTTTGTTTCCAAAACAGCAAAAAGATCTGCACCAGTGGTTGATATCACAGCAGCTAAACCAAGAAAGTCATCGATAACTGATTTCTGTTCATCTGAATAGTATCGAGCACAAATGCAAAGATGTTTTGTCAAAGAAACATCAGTCGATTCATCAATCAGGATGGGAAAAGGTTTATCTGCCATTGATTCAGAAATTTCTGATTCGATTGATGAAGAAATTACATTTTTAATAATTTGGGTACATTTGGTTCGATGCAGACGAAGGTTTTCAAGGGGACTATTTTTTCCATAAAGAGAAATGATTTCTCCGAGGTGATTTATCGTTGAAATGGGTGCATGACAACACACGCAAAGAGCAAGATGAATATCTGCTTCACAGTCTGCTTTCTTTGATACTAAAGGAAACGTAATCTGGCTTTTTGTGTTAAGATGCTTTTCTCTTGAAGCATGTCTAAAAGTAACACTGTGCTGTTCTACAGACGATTTCCGTGGTTGTATAGTTACACGACAAAGGGTACAGAATGCTGATTCAGTACCATCAGAGCTTTTTTTAAGCCAAGGATAATCCGCTTCCCATTTTTCAAGGTACTTTCTTGAATTTACCCTCGACATTGTGCTTAATGTTCTAATACAAATTAAATACAAACCAACTGAAAAAAAAATCAATTCAACAGTTTCTTTAAAAATGCCAAAAAAAATGCCAAAATGCCAAAATAATGCCAAAATGCCAAAAAATGCAAACATGTTAAAATAATGCCAATTTTACTAAATTTGGCATTAAAAAATGCCAGTTGGCAACACTGATCAATACTTAAAAAGTAATAAGGAAACTGACGTAAGGTAAAAACTAAGATGGCAAACTTTATAAAATAGCACATGCGCAAACGCAAAACCTTTATTTTATCACAAACATTGGCCAACCATTGGTTGATGACCGGCATCACTGGCGCGGTGGTGCCGGTCATCAACCGATGAATCCCATGCATGGACCATGCATGGCAAGTTTACTGGGTAGCTTATGACCAATAAAGTAAATTTCAAATCATGAAACTTTACTAAATTAAAACCATATTTCAACAGTAGGAAAACTAAAAAAAAAATAGTAGAATAGTTACAAAATGAAGAACTGATGAAAAAAAACTGTTAATAAAAATCTAGTTTCAATGAAACTCAAAATTTGCTTCTAATATGATCTTAAACAGAAACTTGAAAATATATAAAGTAACCATCTAGTTTAACTTCTAAAAACACCTGAATCCTGCACATTATATTGCAATTATAACACAAGTGTATTACAACTCACTATTAAAAATAATTATTAATATTATGATATAATAAATTTATGCACATAATATACCTAAAATATATAATTATAAACAATAACTATTTATAAATTGTAATAACAATAATAACATTAATTATAAACTTTTACACTAAATACATTAATAATAGTGAATAGATTTAATAACATTATATAACACTGTTTATAAACAAAATTATGTAACAGTAATAAAATAAAAGTTTCATGATGTTCTGAGTTTCATGATAGTCTGGGGTCATTTATTTTCCAAGTATATTCCCTAAACATATAAATAAAAATGTAATAACAGACTTATTTTTAAATCCAGGTATAATTTAAACTTAATTATAATTAAACTATAATTATAACTATCAATAATGCTAATTTATTAATAATGAAAACTTTATAAATATGTCTGATAACTCAAACTTTTACTAAGTCAGATTTTCAATTCCTAATGAACTTTCTATACATACCAAGAACTTCCCCTAACTCTGACAATTGCTAAGTCTGACAATTTATCTATTCCCCTTGAGAGTCAGACTTAACAAGATTCTACTGTATATATTTTTTGAAGTATAATTTCATGCTTAAAAAATACAAAAAAAAAAAAATGCAGAACTTTCTAGGATCACTATTTAAATTACTCTATAAAATATATAAAACAGTAAATAATATATTTATATTATATTATTAAATAAAACAGTTTAAATTGGATCAGAATTTAAAATATCTACAAGTTTCATTCTACGAGGATTTTTCCTAGCAAAAAAATTAATCACTTCATTCACATCAATGCTGATACCTTGGTGAACATGCATTAAAGCTAGACTATTAAATTTATTCTGTGACATTGTGTTAGATAGGTTTTTAAATGACAATTGATCTTTCGCAAGTGCATGTTGTTATTGAAATAGTTGCAAGAATTTGAATTTAGGTAATAAATTAGGAAAAGTTATTCTATCAATAAGAGTAAGGAGTTTGATTAGAGAATGGGAACTTTTAAAACTACGCCAATAATCTTCCCACACGTTCTATTCGGTCATGATATAGCGTGGTTCCGGATGTTCATCTTCATACTCATTTAAAAAAAGAAGAAAGTTGCTTCTCCATTCAGCAACATTTAAAGCGTATGCTGGCATTGCAAAGAATCCATTATAAACAGCAATGTTTCTATTGCTATAAATGGTCAAGAAAGGGAATTGAAATAACTTTCTTGTAATACTCATTAATAGATTCACTAGGACAATTATTTTGATTAAGCTGTTATCCTATTGTACGAGGATTGTGCTCATAAACACTAACACTAGCTGCCAATACAACTGCCTCACTATACCAAGCACCATGACTGTATTCAATGTCTGATCTTAGTCGCTGTAAAGCAAGATGTAACAAATTTACTTTTTCATGCGATGCAAAAACATCAAAGTTTGGAGATTGAAATTGTTTTGTAATTGGTCTTGTTACTTCCAAACAGTCAGACACCACTACTAAAATAATAAGAAACTGGAAAGACCTAGTAGCAAAGAAATAACTATTTGCATCACGCACTGAGTCATGATTTCAAGACTTTTAATTGTTATTAAACATTAGCTCAAAGCATTTAATTATTAACAGGAAGTACCTCTATAAACACATCTAAACCATCAATTCTGGCAATCCATTTTGTACGACACACATCTATTAGACGAGAGTGATGAGCTTTTGGAACATCAAAACGCTTTGGACTAAAATTAAAGAACTGAGATATAACACGAACATTTGACATCATATTGCTAACTATTTGAATGTTACAGGCATTTGCAACACAAAGATTGAGGACATGAGATCTACAATGAACATACAATGCTTTTGGATAAATAGTTTTTATTCTTACTGCAGCACCGGAACAGTTCCCAGCCATGTTACCAGCACCGTCATAACCTTGACCAACACAAAATTTTATTTCTAATTCCAAATTTTTAATACTATTCAAATTTTGGCTGGCTATAGCTTCTCCTGACAAACCTGAGTCGCAAGGAATAAAGCCAAAAAATAGTCTACAAATTTCACAATTATCATTTACAAAGTGTAATACAAGTGGCATTTGTTCCATTTGCTAACATCAGATGCTTCATCTGCTAATATTGAAAAAAATTTAGCGATATGTAGCATTTTTTGGAGTAGAAATTCACCCATTCACCATACTGTTTTCTGCACAATTAGATATTAATTTCAATCAAAATTTATTGAAGATTGCCAAAGTTACTATTTTCATTCTCATAGTAAAATGAATCATCTCTGTGACCTCGGAGAGATATGTTTTGCTTTCCACACATAATTATTGCCAGAACTATTGGTTTAATATTTCTCTATTTTTCTTGACTTGTTCATTAGAATTGCAGTTTGGTGAATTAATTTGCTATTATTTTAACCATTAATCAACACAACACACACACACATACATAAATACTTCGTTTGTTTTTTTATTTTATTATAAAAATTTTATTTATAATATATATTTTTTTAATTTAATATAATTGATTGAGATACAGGAAACTGCATACTTGAAACTTTGCATATTTTATTCAATATACTTACTTTAAATTTTTCATAAAACAAAAATATTTCTCTAATTTTACTGAGTTTCGACAATAACATTAGATAAAAACGATTCCTTTTCTGATTGAACCCTATTTTTATCTAAAATACATTTTAAAATGATTTGAAGCATTGAATCCGCCATGTTTAGAACGAATTAACCAAAAGTATGGTAAAAAACCTTTTTTCTGATTTTTGCGTGATTGGCTTGCACCCCTCAGAGATCTTTCTGATTGGCTCAGCACCCCTCAGAATCTGTTTTGATTAGCTTAAAAAACCAAGCCAATCAAAAATAGCTTCTGAGGGGTGCAGGCCAATCAAAAATAATTCTGAGGGGAGCAGGCGAATCAGAAGCGACTATACGGGAGTTTCCTAGTCGAAGCATAAATATATATAAAATACGCTAGCGTGGAACGGAAAGTACTACACAACAACAAAGGTAATTATTTATTTATTTTTGACTTCCTTCAAAAAAAATGAAATCGCAAATTTTGAGTTGAACAAACTGTTTTAACAATTCAATTTTTATTTATAAAAAAATGCAACGAAATAAAAAACTTTATTTGTTGAAAGTTGACGGGTGCTGGAGCACCCTTTGAACCCCTCTAGATCCGCCCCATGAAACAGCTTCTACTCGTAAAATCTCTCTGTCTTCCTTCCCGGTGGGAAATCGGCTAGCGAATAGGTAGCTATAATTGTTACGATAAAGACAGCGATTTGGCCACGATGATTGCTAGCTTTTTTAAGTTAGCAAAAAGCTATCGATATTTTTAAAGATAATGACAACAATTTGTCTAAGAGGACAGCTAGCTTAATAAGCTGAAGATCCATTGGCTATTGTACCTAGCGTCATATCATAATAAAATCGTTGTCTAAAAAATTTTGATATGTAGCTATCAACCAGCTAAAGATTTGTAGATATTTTGTAGCTAACTACAAAGCTACGATATGTAGCTAGCGACACACTTCTACAAAATCGCAATGTTTAAAGTTCAATTATTTTTATAATTATAATAGACTCAACAATAAAATTTGAATTTTTAGAGATGTTAAAGACATTTGCAAAAAATAAAATAAAAAAAAAATGAAAATTGATAAAAATCGTTATTAAGCTAGCTAGTCGCTCGTTAGTCGCTAGCTTATTTCCCACCGGGTTGCTTGTATCCAAAGCATATTGTGATATCAAAAATTCTACTCAGTTATTACAATATTTGGTTAGCTAACTTAAAATGAAATAATGCTTTTTTTTAAAATAATAACTTTTTTCTGTAATATGCTATATAAACAAATGAATACGGCGACATTTCAAACTATCATCGACCATGTTAAATGTTTAATAAAATTATTTTGATAAAACACAAATTGAGCGGGGTGTATAGTAAATGGGATGTCTAAGTTTTATTTTCCATATTTGAAACCGTTTCTTTCCTTATTTATTACATAAAAAGACAGTTATTAAAATAATACACAGTCTAGTGTGATAAAACAGGGGATGTCTATTGATATTTTTTGATATACACTTGTTGTTACAAACTAATTTTGCCTCCTAGTGATAGTTAAACAATAAAACTTGATAAAAATTCTACTCAGGGTATATGTCAAAAGAGAAGTACAAAGTTTGCTCTAACTAAATAAATTATTTTGATTTTTTTTTAAACCAATGAGAGAAAAATTTAATAAATAAAGTTTCTAATTAAGTTACTTAACTCAAAAGTGAGTTTTACCTCGATCAACATATTGTGAATATTGTTTTTTAACTATCGTAAAATTATGAAACCAATAAACTATTATGTACTCCGGATTTTTTTCCAACTGTTTCAGATAATTAACAGTGCCTAATTTGTTTAGTTTTAGCTGTAGATTAGTCACAATATATATATATATATATAATATATATATATATATATATAATATATATATATATATATATATATATATATATATATATATATATATATATATATATATATATATATATATATATATATATATATATATATATATATATATATATATATATATATATATATATATA